AATAATAGAGAAAAATACTGGAAATCTAATACTAACAGTAAAGTAGAGTGAAATAATAAATGTAATAACAATGAAAAAGTAAAATAATAAATGTAATAGTAATAATAATAATAATAATAATAATAATAACAACATAAATAACTTTGACTTGAGTATAAGCCAAGGGGTTTTTTTCTGCCTAAAAAAGGGCTGAAAAACTCAGCTTATACTCAAATATATACGGTACAGGTGAAGTAAACGCTTTGCCACTTAGTAATGGACCTTTGCTACAGTTGCTTAATGCAGGTACTCGTAACAGTGGTTAACATTAGGAAAAGTTTATAAACACATTTCACATTTTAGTCTTGCACTACTTATTGTAAGTGTAATGATTCAGGCACAAAGTTTAACAGTTACAAAAAAAAAGTCAGTTATGCACTACCTGCACAGAACTGAAGGGATTGCCTCTTAACAATTGCTTCAGTCTAATGGGTGGATTCAGCTGAGGAAAGTCTACACTGCAGTGACAATATCTGGTAGCTAATATCCTATGATTTCACAGAACCAATTTAAAATATATTTAATGCTTACTGCTGATGATGAGCTTATGTCCAGAGGGTTCCACTTTCAGGTCATCGGTTATTGGGTTATATGCAGCACACTTATAGAATCCTTTGTCCTCTAAAGATACACTCAAAATTTGTAAATGTCCAGATGGGAGAATTAGGTAGTTTTCTAGCAAAAAGAGAAAAGGATGGTGGCAGTATGGTTATCTTTAATTAGGTTACAAACGATCATACAGTTATTTTTACTGTGCAACTTAGCCTGCATTTAGACTTATGTGATATTTCAAAAGAGTAATGTAATTAGCAAAACTCAAGTCAACTCTTGTAGCAATTCCAATGGTATGACCATAAACACACAGAGATTACACATAATCTCACCTGTTGATTGTTCCAGCCATTTCCCTCGTGCACGGAAACGAACCTGGGCCTCTGGATCACTTTTTGGCACATTGCAACTGATCAAAGCAGTATTCCCTTCCTCTACTGTAATTGTGTTCCTCCATGAAGTCTCAAAATCATCAAGATCTAGAAAAAAAATCATTTTTTTTCCTTCAAAGGTTTACAAACAAAATCTACTCTAGTAAGGTAAAGTAAGCCATTGGAAAGAGAATATTTAATATCCTTACTTGTCATGAAAAGTGGAAGGAAAATGTCTAATGTAAATTTTCTTAGCAAAACATACAGAAGTACTCAAAGCATAATGAACTACTTATCAATCTAGGTGGGGAAAAGTGCAAATAATACAAATTTCCTGGACGTAGCACATAATTACCATAATAAAACAGCCATTTATCATGGTGTGGAATATAACATTTGTAAACTTCTCAATTTTATGATTGTAAGATTACAGAAACTTCTAGTTAATTTAGAAACCAGTCTAACACACTGCTCTTTTACCTGCAAGGATTACAGTACACGGGACACTTAAATACATTTAGTTTTCTACAGCTTGTACAGTTTGTCTTTATAAGGAATCTGTTATGGACTAGTGCACTATAAAAACACACAGCTTCCTCAGTTATTTGAATCCTGTCTCCTTTGGGTACTTTGGGCATGGTTCATAAGCAGAGCATTTCCATAAAGGAGATTAATCAAGCCCATACTTACAAAAGCAGAATTTAAATGTTTAACTCTGATGTCAAATGGCTAAATCATCTTCAGGTCATATACAACTTTCAGAACAAGGTTGTCAAAAGAGAAAGAAAACATGTAAGTGAAATGGTTTCACTTGTACTCTTGAACATTTAAATCAATGTGCATATGCATATTTTAAAATCGGATGTGCTACGATCTGCCATGGAAGATAGTTTATAACACCTTAAGGCATAGTAAGTACCTAATCAGAGAATTAATGAGTTGTAAGGGAATCCATGAAATTGATGGGGTCAACTAAGGTCAATAGGAGACTTGAAAGCGCACATATACACAAATACACAAGAATATATTCAGATTTCTCATTGCTCCCCTTGATTAAACAGAAGGAGTTTACTTGTTTAAAAACTGGGAAGAGGTTTAGATGGGTCTTTAAATATTTAAGAGGGGCATTTAAACCCATGTCTTATGCCACCCATTTCCTTCCAGGTTATGTATGTATTTTTCACAAAAAGATAAATTAAAACCAAAATTTCACTTCTCTATAAAGTTTAGCAATACTTGAAGAGGTCATCTGCTGTGTTCAGATTTGGACTCTGTTTTCAGATATGATCTTTGCAGATAGATCCTATATCCCAGGACCTGATTCCAAGTTTTCTGCATTAAACTGGATTATAGGAGTCTACTGCCAGATAATCTGGGATAAACAGAAAACCTGGGATCAGATCCTAGGATACAGGGCCTGTCTGGAAGGACCCTTAGAAGGTTAAGTGCATGAATGGTATAAACACAAAGAGAGACAATGGAAGACACGGAAATATCATAGAGGGTAGTATGTTCATTTTGCCATCAAGTCAATTAAAACTTACATGCTATTGATACTGTTGCAGGTCTGCTGATAATTGCACCAATGCTGTTATTTGCAATGCATTGGTAGATACCAGAATTTGATGGACTAAGAGAAAAGATTGTCAGAGATCCTGGCTGTATGTCTACTTGATCCGCATTCTTGTGCAGTTTCTCCCCATTGAAGTGCCAAGACACGTGAGCTGTAGAGGGCTCAGCAGAACAGTGGAGTTTTACATTTGCACCAGGTTGTTGAATAACAGAAAGGGGCTCAGAAATAAAGTGAGGAATCAAGTCTAGAAAAAAAAAATAATGTAAGATATAATTTACACCGGATTTTCAATGTTATAAAAATATTCTGAAGTATAATGGGCATATATTATATGTTTATATTTTATAAGTTTATCTTCTTCTAACTGCTAAACGTGAACTCAAGATAATAATTTACACCTTTTTAACATCCACCTTTACTGTGCTAAATTGATAGTGCAGCTATACTTTTGAATATACAAACATATCTATCGCTATTATATTCTCCTTCAGTTTTACTCTAAAAGTCAATAAAGTCAACAGGAAATTAAAAACTTCAGAAAGTAATTTTAAAATCTTGATTGACATCTGATAAGGTAAACTTACCTGAACCTGTAGTTGAGAAGAAAACTGTAAGAAAAAGTAATTCTTGTAAAGATCCAGGATCAGAATGCATAGTGCCAGGTCAGAAAAGCTGGTGGCAAAGAGCTTCAGACTAATATGAGTCACCGAGGAGCCTACAAAAGAACAAATAAAGGCAACAAAACTGCCTTAAGTGATGTACTGTATTATATAGAAAGTTAAAATCTTTTAGGAATACGAATAAGGCCTAATGCATTGCCTTAGGACCCTTCCACACAGCCATATAAAATCCCACCACATTATCTGCTTTGAACTGGGTTATATAGCACTGTGGACTCAGATAACCCAGTTCAAAGCAGATATTGTGAATTATCTGCCTTGATATTCTGGGTTATTTGGCTGTATGGAAGGGCCCTAAATCTAAAGCACTAAGTTGTTTTCTTGCAAAAAGAAAGAATTGGCGACTTCCTTCTTTTTTGCATGCTACACCCTCTGCCACATACTTTTAGGACAGAATGTGAGACTCCATTTGTGTAACATGTAGCTTGACCCCAAATCATTTATGAAGGATAAGATGGAAGACCATACATAAAATAAGTTCATATAATCAAAAACATGCGGTTCAGTTACATCAAGTACTAAGGCACTATTCCATGAAAATAACTAGAGTCAGTTATTACAAACCAGTTTTAAAACAGAATAAAATCCCAAATGAAATCAAAATCCCATGCTTTGTGAAAGAGATCCCTTTCCTGACACTTAACACACACTTATACCGAAATGAAAGTATTCTATTATTTTAGAAGGCATGGATCACAATAATGAAAAATGTAATTCCTCGAGGAGACACATTTAAAAACTGTTATCAACAAAACTATTTCAAAAACAATACAACTGAGAAAAATACCAGACTAATTAGTTAAAGATATTGTGGTTTTAAAACCCAAGGCAAATACATTAATTTATGGCATTTTTGCTTTTTAATTACTGCCTGCCAGGTATCTCCCAAAAGCAACACACCTTGCCACTAAACTTTCACTAAAAGCAAGAGAGAAGATTTTAAGCCAATGCTGAAAGAGATCCAGTACAGCTACCAGATGTATTCTGCTTGGGAGGGCATTCCAAAGTCAAACATAGTAGCTCTCAAAATTATTTTCTGCCTCAAAGCCATTAGTATCCACCTTCAAATTAAAACCTGTGGAGCAGCTGTTTGTTTAATGTATTGTTGAAAGCTTTCCTGGCTGGAATCACTGGGTTGTTGTAGGTTTTTTTCGGGCTATATGGACATGTTCCAGAGGCATTCTCCCCTGACGTTTCGCCTGCATCTATGGCAAGCATCTTCAGAGGTTACATCTGAGGATGCTTGCCATAGATGCAGGTGAAACGTCAGGAGAGTATGCCTCTAGAACAGTGGTTCTCAACCTGGGGGTGGGACCCCTGGAGGGGTCGCGAGGGGGTGTCAGAGGGGTCGCCAAGGACCATCACCGACAGTATTTTCTGTTGGTCTGTGTGGGACGTTTGGCCTAATTCTATCGTTGGTGGGCTTCTAAATGCTCTTTGGTTGTAGGTGAACTATAAATCCCAGCAACTACAACTCCCAAATGTCAAGGTCTATTTTCCTCGAACTTCACCAGTGTTCACATTTGGGCATATTGAATATTTGTGCCAAGTTTGATCCAGATCCATCATTGTTTGAATCCACAGCGCTCTCTGGGTGTAGGCAAACTACAACTCCCAAACTCAAGGTCAATGCCCACCAAACCCTTCCAGTATTTTCCGTTGGTCATGGGAGTTCTGTGTGCCAAGTTTGGTCCAATTCCATCGTTGGTAGAGTTCAGAATGCTCTTTGAATGTAGGTGAACTATAAATCCCAGCAACTACAACTCCCAAATGACAAAATCAATCCTCCCATAACACTCCAATAAGAATACATCCTGCATATCAGATATTTACATAACGATTCATAACAGTAGCAAAATTACAATTATGAAGTAGCAATGAAAATAATTTAATGGCTGGGGGTCACCATAACATGAGGAACTGTATTAAGGGGTCGCGGCATTAGGAACATTGAGAACGACTGCTCTAGAACATGGCCATATAACCCAAAACAACCTATAACAACCCAGCTGTTTGTTTAATTTGAGGCTTTTCACAACTTTCCCCTTATTTTATTGCTGATCGGGGAGAAATAAGCTCAACTGCTTTTCTTAAAACACAGGTCAAAATCACTGTTAACAATAACAAGTCTGATTCACAGAGCAGTACAGTTAAGTTTGGTAAAAGTAAACAGGTGAGCCCACGGAACTTGCCTTCTGTGGTAGCCATTATGAAGCACAATTGGATCATGCCTATCCTAAAGAGTTCATATAATGGGCTTGCTGTATCTCCAAACTGTGCACCCATGGGCTTCAACCCACCATAGAACAAAAATAAATTAATTATCCAAAAAATCTTGCTGCAGCCAGTGAATTTACAATTGTGGGCAGTTCTGGGGGGTCCCAGAATACGCATTCACATCACTATTTAATAATATAGGAACTGATCATCTACATATCTGTATGTGGTTCTGGAAGCACACCACCATGGATACTGTGGGTCCATTGCACTAATCTAAGCAAAAAAAAAATGTTTCCAAAACAAAATCATGCCTTTTCTCAATGCTCCAGTAAAGCTGGAATCAACTATTATCCTAATTATATTGAATTCCACATGTTTGTGCAACAAAGATTGCCTTTTACATAGATTAATCATGCAACACATTTTTCTCCAGCAACAGCTCTCAGAATTAATTCTAGAATTTCTGGATTCAACTACACTGAATTAGACAGAAACATAATTTCACTTAAAATTGATAGGTAAGCTAGCTGTGACTAACATAAGTTGACTGATTTCAATCAGCCTATTTCAGGCAATAACTAAGTTTGAATTTAAACCACTGAATGTTTTTCTGTTATACAGAAGGCATAACTGATGCAACTGTCTCCAGTGTAGTCTCTGCATGTGTCGAAGCACAATTATAGATCAATTCAGGACAGAAATTATTGTATCTTTTTATATTGCCTGAAATTAGCTGTAGTATCAGTTATAGAGATAATTCACAAAATACCCAAGAGAAACTCTGTAATGCAATTGTTTACTGTTAGGTAGATAAATCATTAAATCATTTAGAATTATTTCACTCATGGCAGTGACAGAGATATTAATAAACAATACAAAAAAGTGAGTTTAAAACTGAACCATGGGGGAAACAGACAGATGAAGTGTTACTGTTTGTTGCTCTGTTACTAGAATTCTCGAGGGCTTTTAAACAACTAGATGCTGTTCTCCTTTTCATGGAATATTCTGAGAAATTCCCAGCATGAACAGCGTTATCCTATTCCTATCTGAATGCTGGGCTGAGAGAGAGAGAGAGAGAGAGAGAGAGAGAGAGAGAAATAATAGAACATAACAGATTGCAGCAAAGTTTTTTTGCTACTCTGGATGGCAAGGAGAGGACAGAGTGCTTAGTCACAAAAAATTAAAATAAAATTAGGAGTCCTGCGCCTTTAAAAACAAAAGCGTGCCCATCCAATAATACCAATAGAACAAATGTTGATTAATTTCTCTAAAAAAAACATTATAAACTCTGATGGGAATACATATGATATGGCATTCAATTGAACATGCAAAAACATATACAACTTAGCTCCTATCTCAAAACAGAAAAACATTAACCAGTAGAACAGCTGGATTTTTTTTTAAAAGAAAAGAAAAGAAAATGCAGTCTAGAATATGTTTCTATCTTATATGCATGCATATAACCCCCTAAAGAATAAAACAATAGAGGAGTTTGCTATTAGAAATGCTGGAGTGAGAGATATAAGACACCTTAATACTAACCACATTTTGAAGATTAAAAAGATAAGAGAATTAAAATAGAAGAGAAAACTCCACAGACAAAACCACCAGTTTCTGGTATTGTGCATCCCTCTTCATTAAAAAGACATAAGCTCTTCTGTCAATGACTGTTCATAATGTAAGTTACAACTAATAGAAACAAAATGCCAAGAAAACCACTCAATCGCAAAAGACTTCCTTGAAAACAAATGTATTGACAGTTTACTTTAAAATTTAACATGGAGTGGGTACAAATCAGCAAAAAGGTTGATTTCCTGGGGTCATCACACTATTCTCAGTAACCAACTCGAGAACTTGCAAGCTACCACAGAAAAAATCTGCAAGCCTTATGGTGGCGTTGTTGCTAAAATTATTTATTTTTAGATTTGAGAGTTGGAAGGAACATAACGTATTCCATGAAATAATCTGAGGCAAAAATATAAATAATCTTCAAGGTAAGAATCTACATCCTGAATTTATTCCAGAACCAAACTGGAAAGAAAAAATAAACATTATATATACCTTGCAGTGATCTGGAGCATATCTGGGGTCAACTGTCTTTAGGGAAACACCACTATACAGCACAGGTTACAACAGTATTTACCAGAACATTCAGATGTTTTTCTCTAAAAAGGTAGCTGGCAGATCAAGCCAGGCACAATGTGCACCTGACTATAATTTTAAGGGGCAAAATAAGAGTAAGGTGTCATCTGCAGATTGATGATAATCCAATTAAAGCCTCTGGATGCTCTTGACCAATGAGGTTTAGGATCATATTACACCATGGGAATAGCAAAGATCCACAAAAGACATGTGAGTTTCCTAACAGTGGAAAAACAAACCCCTAGATTTATCTTATAGAATTTCCCTACAAAGGAGAAGACACATGGAGTGTGATATTCTCAGTGTCAGACTCTGCTAATCCTTCCAGGAGTACCAGAAGTCATTAAATGATCTAGTAAAAGCAGCAGGCATTCTAATTGTCTCCACCCAAGAATAATTTACCATGAATCAGGATTACCACATCAGTCTCAGTACCAAACTTCAGTCCGAGTCCAAATTAGAAATGTTTTTAAACTATAAATGCCTAAATTGTTTAGCCATTTTCAGCTCCACTACTCAAGCTAAGACTGGACACCAGGCATTAGCCTACAACTCTATTTTCAATTATTTTGTTCTTAGATTTTGTTATGCATATGGGAGTAAGTTACAGATGTGAATGTTTAATACTCATCAAATAAAAACTGCTAGAATAATGCCTTGAAGGAAGAACAAT